TATTAATTCACAATACTGTACTATTACTCTATTTTAGTGTGGTATTAATTCACAATACTGTACTTTACTCTATTTTAGTGTGGTATTAATTCACAATACTGTACTATTACTCTATTTTAGTGTGGTATTAATTCACAATACTGTACTATTACTCTATTTTAGTGTGGTGTTAATTCAAATACTGTACTATTACTCTATTTTAGTGTGGTATTAATTCACAATACTGTATTATTAATCTCTTTAGTGTGGTATTAATTCACAATACTGTACTATTACTCTCTTTAGTGTGGTATTAATCCACAATAATGTACTATTTCTCTCTTTACTGTGGTATTAATTCATAATGATGTACTTCCTGTTACTGTAGTTGTAACTATCAGTGACATGATTTCAAGTTTGAAACAGCGTTACTTGTGATCTTTTAACATTTTATCTTTACTGATATACTGTTACTTTTATTAAACAAACTGTTACTATAGTAACTCTCATATTCATCATTAAAAAAAATTATATTGTTCCATATAATTCTATAAGATCACATATTTTCGTATAGAATGTTTATGATCCTTCAAGGCCAGTCTTAAACCTATTTCTTCTTGCCGTAACCCGACCAACCTTCCGAGATTGTGGTTGAGTCAGAGATTTTTCTGACTTGGGAAATTTTTATTTTCACCAATTTCTGACGATACACCGACCCATATAACAAAATTTGGAAACTTTATGGCTAGAATATTCTTAGATATACATGACTGATTTATTTTAAGTAGAGCGTGAGTGTTAAAGTTAGTTATTTTTAGAAGCAATAGTTTACTACAGGTTTGTTTATATAACTGTGTGAATCATAAGTTGTGTAGTTCAATTGTTGTCTTATTGTGTCATGCTTTAGAACCTTCTAGGTTTTTCTCAAGTATTAATATATCACAATATCTTGTAGTGTGTGGAAAGTTCTAGGTCTCAGTTGCTATTTATAAATACTCACCCAAAATGTAGTTCATGTAAGACAAAGTTAATGAGCGATATAGTAAAATAGATTTAGATTGTGTGTTTGTAAGTTTAGCTGTAAAGAGCATAGAAGCTGTTGTAAGTTGTACGATCTGACGAAGAGCACTAGCTTGAAACGTCATCTTTCTTTAAATAAAAATATAACAAAAACATGACGACTGTTCAACTTATTCTTAAGTTTAATTTCAATGCATTTAGGTTTGACAACATGGCTTATCTCCTCCCCAGGACCATTCACACTAAACTAATAAATACACGACCTAGCAGGGAAGAATTTACTATTGATGAGCATGCAAACACAAGTCTGTTCAGTGTATTTGTCTCTGAAAAAATGTTCTCGTACATTGAAGATTAGGATCAAAAACAAATTAGTTCCGATTGGAAACTTATCCAGGTGAAGGGAAGTACTTGGCAAATGAGATGAAACGGAAGAACAAATTGTCAGCAACAGTCGATTTAACTTTGTCGATATTTACCAGCATGTGTTGCGAAAGAATTTGAAATTTCTGTAATTCTCTTCATAAAATAAATGTTGATAGAATTATATTCATAGTTTAACACGTTATGTTTTAGGTGATCACCAAACTAGTGTTATTTCTGAAATTTGTTTTGCAAAGCAATTTGAAAAAATAAATTACTTACCTACCTATCCACATTTTAAATCAGTTTAGGGTTACAGCAAACAAAACAATTTTTAAGCTTGTCCCAAGTCATAGGCTCTCATTTTCAATAGGAGATGCACTTTATTATATGGTAATTGACAGAACTCACTGAGGTAGCTACTAAAAATACTTACATGTACTGAGAAATCATCATATTTCTACACACACACACACATTGAGAAGAAGTCTCAGCCAGTCTAACTTACTGAGATAGCTGAAAATTCTTACATGTACTGAGGAGTCGTTGTCTTTCCACACACACATTGAGAAGAAGTCTCAGCCAGTCTAACTTACTGAGATAGCTGAAAATACTTACATGTACTGAGGAGTCGTTGTCTTTCCACACACACACACACACATTGAGAAGAAGTCTCAGCCAGTCTAACTTACTGAGATAGCTGAAAATACTTACATGTACTGAGGAGTCGTTGTCCTTCCACACACTGAGGATCTTTTTTGATAAGAAATTCAGAGGCTCGCTTAAGTCAACCTTCTGGATCTCTGCTAGGGCTTCTTCAACACTTACTTCTCCAAAACTTCCACCCAATGTGTCTTCCTATGTTTGGTTCAAAACTGTTAATTTATGTCATTTTTTACACATTTTATTGCAATTAAAAAAGTTAACAAACACCATAACATTGAGAATAATATATAAAGCCTTCCTTACTAGTTTATCTTTTTTTTTTTTTATATAGTAGTTAGTTAGTTAGTTAATAGTACGTTAGTT